TAATTGTAGTGATGACTGCACAACTCTGTAAACATACTGAAAGCCACTGAATTGTACATTGTAAATGGGTGAATTGAATCGTGTATTATATTTCAATAAAGTTATTTTTAAAAACTTAATCTTTACTGATATTTTCAAAATCCTTATTTCCTCTTTCTTATGGAGCCCAATGATATTCTTCCCAGTATAGTAGTAATATGACACTACAGTGCTACAAAAGTATCAGCAGGCAATCTTCTACTGGCAATTTTTTCTAGAAAAGCTTATCTTTCAACAGTTCAGCAAAAAACAATTTATTTCTATGACATCCAAACAATAAGAGAACAGAAGCTTTGACCCATCTGACACAAAGGGTGATTTAGTCTTTCAACAACCTCAACATCTAAGAAGTTTTTCTGTCAGTTTTGTCTTCTGTATATCTTAATCTTATCACTATCATAAAAATTATCAGTAATCATATTTTAGATTTTAAACACTTAGAAGCAGAATGAGGGAAAAGGTGGCTACATTTCAACTAAGAAGAACTGGCTCTAATCTATACCACGTAATAACCATGTGGTCTCAGGCAAATATTTAACTTCTCTGAGCATTTTTAAAATCTACAAATAGGGAATAATACTAGTTGCACCAGCCTCTCAAGGTTTTGATGAAGATCAAATGATATTCACTAACAGACTCTAAAACTGTTCATCAGTGTAAAGTGAACTAGTTAATCTGGGACGCTAGGTATATAGTATGACATCAAATGTTAGTAACTTAAAGTAGAGTTTCAGAGAAATAAAAGTCAAAAAGGCCAATAAAAAAGAAACAGTGTTTCCCTGGTGGCGCAGTGGTTGAGAGTCCACCTGCCGATGCAGGGGACACGGCTTCGTGCCCCGGTCCGGGAAGATCCCACATGCCGCAGAGCGGCTGGGCCCGGTGAGCCATGGCCGCTGAGCCTGCGCGTCCGGAGCCTGTGCTCTGCAACGGGTTAGGCCACAACAGTGAGAGGCTCGCGTACCACAAAAAAAAAAAAAAAAAAAAAAAGGAAACAAAATGTTAACATATTCAAGCTCTTGGAATGTAGGAAACATTTTACTTTATGATACATGAAAATATGAGTATGAGAAAAAAAATTTATATGAAACATTTAAAACCACAATTCCTTAGAACTTTTGGAATACATGGCCACAAAATGATGAATTATCTATTGTTATAATCATGAGTAAGTTATAATTGCTGATAATTCTAATGTTGATGCTTAGGTAATACTCCAATTTTCACTTGCTTGTAACCACATTCCTATGAGTCCAGGAGTCAGATGAGGTAAACACACAGCTAAGGATGCTGAAAAATAGAAGAAAATAGTACACAGAAAATTCACTTGTAAGAAAAAACGTAGACACATTTGCATGTATACACAAATAAACATGTATTTGTACAAAAACTAAGTGGATTCAAAGTGATCTGATATGTTAATGCACTGGTCTGAATACTAGCCCAAGCTTGTTTTCCATCCTCTTATTTTATTTTTTCACCCCTGGGTTCTCCAATATTATGGGAAAAATTCACACAGGTGTGCTACTTCACTTTACTGCAAATATCTGCCTCCAACATCAGCTGGGATCTCATGGTTATTTGGAAAATCATTTTTGTCTTTAGTCTTTTCCTTCTTGTACTTTCTACGGTAGATATAAGCATTTTAACATTTTTTTTTCTCTAGGCCTCTGCCCTAGCACCTCCAAGCCACAACTTTATTGGTTAAGAAACCAGAGGTCTCAGAATGGGTTTCCTTCAACCTCCCTTACAATTTACCTCTAGTAGCACCCATCTTCTATGCATTCATCAGAATAGTAAATAATAACGTGATTCATCATTTATTCAGTATTTGCCATGTGCCAAACACTGTGCTGAGTACGTTATATACAATAATTAATTTAGATCCCACAATAACCTTACAAGATAAGCATCTTTGGTCGTATTTTTTACAATGACAAAAGTGAATTTCAGGGGAACTAAGTAACCTGTCCAAAGTTTGTAGCTAATTACTCACTGAAAACAGATTTAAATCCAGCTCTATCACTATGTCACCCTGCCTCTCAAAAGTGTTCTAATGCCTATCCTAAGGCCTCCACTTCTGCACAGGGATACTACATTCATAAATTATTTTCACTACTGTATCTTTCTTTCTTTCCTAACCCAGTACTGAGAAAAGGTACCTAAATTGCTATATTTAAGTGGTGCTGGGAAAACTGGACAGCCACAAGCAAAAGAATAAATCTTATACCATACACAAAATTAACTCAAAATGGATTAAAAACTTGAACAGAAGACCTGAAATCATAACACTCCTAGAAGAAAACATAGGCAGTAAACTCCTTGAGATAGGTCTTGGAGATAAATTTTGAATCTGAGAACAAAAGTAAAAGCAACAAAAGCAAACATAAATAAGTGGGACTATATCATACTAAAAAGCACAACAAAAGAGACCATCAACAAAATGAAGAGGCAGCCTACTGAATGGGAGAAAATATTTGCAAATCACATATTTGATAAGGGGTTAATATCCAAAATATATAAAGATTTCATACAAACTCAACAGCAAAAACGCAAACAATCTTATTAAAAAATGAGCAGAGCATCTGAATAGACATTTTTTCCAAAGAAGACATTCAGATGGCCAACAGGTAGATGAAAAGATGCTCAAAATCACTAATCATCAAGAAAATGCAAATCAAAACCACAATGAGCTATCACCTCACACCTGTTAGGATGGCTATCATCAAAAAGACAAGAGATAACAACTGTTGGTGAGGATGTAGAGAAAAGGGAACCCTTGTGCATTGTTGGTGGGATTGTAAAATGGTGCAGCCACTGTGGAAAACAGTATGGAGGTTGCTCAAAAAATTAAAAATAGAACTACCATAAGATCCAGCAATTTTACTTCTGCATATTTATCTGAAGAAAATGAAAACACTAATTCAAAAAGATACGTATATCTGTATTCCCATGTTCACTGCAGCATTATTTATAATAGCCAAGATTTGGAAACAACCTAATTGTCCACCATTGATGGATAAAGAAAATGTGGTATATATACACACAGTGGAATACTATTCCATCATAAAAAAGAGTGAAATCTTGCCATTTGCAACATGGATGGACGTCAAGGGCACTATGCTACATGAAATAAGACAGATAAAGACAAACACTGTATGAGCTTTCTTATATGTGGAATCTAAGAAAAAAAAAGCAAAATAAAAAAGCAAATAAACAAAAACCCAAGCTCATATATACAGAGAACAGACTAGGGGTTTCCAGACGTGGTGGGTGGGGGATGGGGGAAATGGGTAAACTCTCTTTTTAGTTTAAATAAATTGCTTAATTTTTAAAATTAATTTAAAAAATATATAAAAATAAATTGTGATACTTGGATTAAAAACATGACTCATGTAATTTATGTTTTCATTTAAAAACAGATTTTTAATAAAATCAGATATATATTTCTATATTGGTTACATTAATAAAATTCCTTAACAAAATGTAAATAGATAATTTAGATCTTAAAGCTATGTGGGGTTGAAAGATTAACTGACTTCCACTGAGCTTCCAGGAAAAACTCAAAACATCAGGTTATGCTGGTAACAAGTTATCATCTCCCGCTTTCTGTTCTTCTACAGAGTGGAAAAGAAAGATGAAGTTCTTGCCTCTTCAATTTTTCAGTAATTTCTCACTTTTTCGGAGATTCATTCCTTCAGAAGTAGAAAGTGGTTTAGCAACATGTGCAGACACAGCTGATATTTTAAAGAAATGTGTCCTCTCTTTAATGGTCCAGACAAACATACACCCTAACTGCCTTTAGTGAGTTTTCTCACATGACTTTTTTTTTTTTTTTTTTTTTTTTTTTTTGTGATACGTGGGCCTCTCACTGTTGTGGCCTCTCCCGTTGTGGAGCACAGGCTCCGGATGCGCAGGCCCAGCGGCCGTGGCTCACGGGCCCAGCCGCTCCGCGGCATGTGGGATCTTCCCGGGCCGGGGCACGAACCCGCGTCCCCTGCATTGGCAGGCGGAGTCTCAACCACTGCGCCACCAGGGAAGCCCTCTCACATGACTTTTAACAAAACTTCATCAGCCTAAGTGTTCAATAGCTTCGATTTACTGTGCTGCTTACATATGTAAGTTTAATTCCCTACATCCACATAGCAGCAAACCCTTTTTCTTCAGCTGTTAAGAATTAACTTCAATACTTTAAGCACCATGCTAACACACCAGAGTCTGTCTTGTGGAATATTTTCTCTCCAGCACCTATACAGAGTATAGGGAAATTTTATTAAAATTTAAAACCCTGGAAGGGTTACATGAATCTGTTGTTTTGAATACCATGAAGTATATCAAAATCCAGAGCCCATAATATCTTTAAGCTTTAACATAAGATCAGTTTGTTTTACAATATTAGGTTTGAAAATATTTTAAAGCAGTTTATAAAACATTTTTCTCATCTCTTTTGATTCAAAGTAAGCCAAATAATGATCATAAATAATCTGTGTATTTTAAGTTTTACATATATAACAGCTTTTTATATAACTAAACCTGTACCTTTAAAGACTGAGTTTTCTTTCATTCAGATTAGAATGTAGCTATCTAAATCCCAAAAGGATGTTAGTTATATCTGCAGCTCATAAACAGCTTGTCAATCACTGATACAATTCAAAAACTCCATGCATATTTATTGCTGCATTCATTTTTAAACAAATATTGCAAAATATTACACACAGTGTGAGCAATGTCACCTAAATGCTAAAACACCCTGTTAATATCAATTCTTAATGGTAGGTTCCTTGTCTATCATTAAAATAAATATCAGCTTCTTGTCCACTTTCAGTTTTGCTGAATGCCATCATATAAATTAGCTATAATGATTCAAAATACCCTATGTTTCTTCTATCATTTCTCAATTTTTCTTCCATCCCCTAAATACTCATAATTTATTTGAAAATTAAATGTAAGAACTATTTACAGACCTCCATCCATCTTTCTGGAGATAACTGAAGGCTCCATCAACAACACTTGCAAAGAACTGCCCTCCCGTGATGAAGAGGGTATTAATGGTGACTAATCGACCTCTTAAATTGGGGGGTGAGACCTCAGCGATGTACACTGGCACTGTCATAGAAGCAATGCCTATAAAGAAACAATAAAAAGTAAACATTAGACATTTATCCAAGATTTCTGTTGTCATAGATATTAAGACAGATTAAGACATACACACACATATACGGGCTTAGTTTTCTACTTTAAACAAAGGTTTACCACATATTTAAAGTTTTTGTTTATAAGTAGTGACTACTGCAGATAAGATGTGAGATACCAATCTGAGTATCATTTTTCATATTATCACTAGAAAGTCTATGAACGAAAGTACCCCAAGAGATCTCAGATAACTTTAGAATGCATGTCAGTATGCTTTATAACTTTTTGAAGACTAAAAATAGGAAAATGCTCTCTAGATAGAATATAATTATTGAAATATTGTTGGTTCATATGGAAATGTAATCAGACAATGGTGAGAATAAAAAATTATCCCAAAATACATATTAACTATTCAAAGTCATCATTTCCATAGACACACCAAAACTCTTAATTGGTTTACTAATTAGATGTCTGTACATTAAATCACCTTACTCAAATGGCTAGATGTACATTTCAGAAACAGCTTACAAAGGATAATATCTTGGGGATTTACAGTCTTCAAAAACAGATGATCTTAACCATAAAATAGATGGTTTTGTGGATAACGTGTATTTGGTTATATACGCTTTAAACTTTTTTCTATATAAAATTAATACAGCATAATCTATGGTAGCAATTCTCAAACTTCATAGATCACTAGAATCACTTGTGTGTCTTTTTTTAAAAATGAAGATGCTACAGATTCAATGCAATCCCTATCAATCTACCAATGGCATTTTTCACAGAACTAGAACAAAAAATTTCACAATCTGTATGGAAACACAAAAGGCCCCAAATGGCCAAAGCAATCTTGAGAAAGAAAAGCGGAGCTGGAGGAATCAGGTTCCCTGAGTTCAGACTATACTACAAAGCTACAGTAATCAAGACAGTATGGTACTGGCACAAAAACAGAAATATAGATCAATCGAACAAGATAGAAAGCCCAGAGATAAACCCACGCACATATGGTCACCTTATCTTTGATAAAGGAGGCAAGAGTATACAGTGGAGAAAAGACAGCCTCTTCAATAAGTGGTGCTGGGAAAACTGGACAGCTACATGGAAAAGAATGAAATTAGAACACTCCTTAGTACCATACAAAAAAATAAACTCAAAATGGATTAAAGACCTAAATGCAAGGCTAGACACTATAAAACTCTCAGAGGAAAAAATAGACAGAACACTCTATGGCATAAATCACAGCAAGATCCTTTTTGACCCACCTCCTAGAGAAATGGAAATGAAAACAAAAATAAACAAATGGGACCTAATGAAACTTAGAAGCTTTTGCACAGCAAAGGAAACTGTAAACAAGATGAAAAGACAACCTTCAGAATGGGAGAAAATATCTGCAAATGAAGCAAGTAACAAAGGGTTAATCTCCAAAATATACAAGCAGCTCATGTCATGCAGCTCAATATCAGAAAAACAAACAACCCAATCCAAAAATGGGCAGAAGACCTAAATAGACATTTCTTCAAAGAAGATATACAGATTGCCAACAAACACATGAAAGGATGCTCAACATCACTAATCATTAGAGAAATGCCAATCAAAACTACAATGAGGTATCACCTCACACCAATCAGAATGGCCATCATCAAAAAATCTACAAACAATAAATGCTGGAGAGGGTGTGGCGAAAAGGGACCCCTTTTGCACTGTTGGTGGGAATGTAAACTGATACAGCCACTATGGAGAACAGTATGCAGGTTCCTTAAAAAACTAAAAATAGAGCTACCATACAACCCAGCAATCCCACTACTGGGCATATACCCTGAGAAAACCATAACTGAAAAAGAGTCATTTACCACAATGTTCATTGCAGCACTATTTACAGTAGCCAGGACATGGAAGCCACCTAAGTGTCCATCAACAGATGAATGGATAAAGAAGATGTGGCACATATATAAAATGGAATACTACTCAGCAATAAAAAGAAATGAAATTGAGTTATTTGTAGTGAGGTGGATGGACCTAGAGACTGTTATACAGAATGAAGTAAGTCAGAAAGAGAAAAACAAATACCATACGCTAGCACATATATATGGAATCAAAAAAAAAATCATTCTGGAGAAGCTAGGGGCAGGACAGGAATAAAGACATAGACGTAGAGAATGGTCTTGAGGACACGGGGAGAGGGAAGGGTAAGCTGGGACAAAGTGAGAGAGTGGCATGGACATATATGCACTACAAATTATATTATGTAGAAATGTAAAATAGATCGTTAGTAGGAAGCAGCTGAATAGCATAGGGAGATCAACTCTGTGCTTTGTGTCCACCTAGATGGGTGGGATAGGAGGGTGGGAGCAAGGGAGACGCAAGAGGGAGGAGATATGGGGATATATGTATATATATAGCTGATTCACTTTGTTATGCAGCAGAAAGTAACACACCATTGTAAAGCAATTATACTCCAATAAAGATGTTTTAAAAATACATAAGTAAATAAATAAATAAAATGAAATGCAGATGCGTTCACCGCACCCACCCAAATCTATTAAGTAGAAAACTACAGAGGAGATGAGACTGTCTTTTAAAAATCCTCCAGGTGATCCTGATGCTCACCACATATTTAAAAAACTACAGTTCTATGGTATATAACTTTGAGCTAATCCTAAATTATTTCTTAAGAGAAAATCTTTGCCCTGCTGGCCATATCCAGCTCACCTCTCAGTGGTACTTCCAATTTCCAGACATGTCTGGTTATTTAACATAAATCTAATATCTAATCAACAATCAGCAAAAGCATAGTGAAAAAAAGGATTATCTAAAGTAATTAAATCTTTTTTATATTTGTAGATACTATAAACAGATACCCAGTTTAAGCAAGAACATCAATGGGTTGCATAATAGACCCGTGTAGAATTGTTTTTAATGAATTGATCTTTATGATGTCAAAAAATAGCCTGCTGTTATTGAAGGCATCAGCACTAAGAAATCCTGTGGCTGTGTTTTCTGTACAAGGGCTGAAAAGTTGCCATTTACCATTTACCACATTCCGACAAAGGAGAAACTCCTCTCTAGTCTCAGCAGCTGCAATGTTGTGTTTCTCAATAACTGACTTCTGTTAGTTTATGGGCACTATAAATCACATAGCCATCTTTTAACTCCCTTTTTATGTAGAAGTCAGAGAGGCACACCTCTACCAAGTGTTTTGGACTTCATGGTATTTATTCTGTGAACTAAATTCCTTCCTGATGCCACAATCATCTCCAATTTCATCTATTTTAAATATTTTTTTGCTATATGTTTATTTGCTTTGTTCAAAGGTAGAACAAATAAACAGATCAAGAAGATTTATTTAAATAGTACATATATCTACTTCTGGAATATTCACTGTATTGTTGCAAAACTACTGTTAAGCATTTATTGAGTTTGCACACAAGTCAGACCATTAAGTCTCAGAACTATATACTCTATTTTCTACCAATGTTATTTGCTACTGTAGTGCTTGTCGGTATATGGTGATGGTGAAAAAAATCATATGATTTTATGAGTTTCATAACATAATAAGCAAATGTTAGTAGACAAACTATGAATAGTCGTTATAAATGAATCATCACCTAAACTGCTGAAAGTTTCCATCTGACTGCTAATCAATTTAATAGCACAGACTACTCTAAATCGACTTTTATTTAACTTGGAAAGAGGAAACAGCTGCAAATGTTGACCTGTTAACTGTATATTCTTTTTAGTTCTTTTATGATTAGAACATCTCAATAAACTTTCAAAATCAGATAACAGTAACTGATTAGATTTCTTTTTCTGCTTTGGTCTGGCTGTAATTCAGCTGCTCTCTTTAGCCAGAGTTTACTCAGCCACCTAGCAGGGGACTTGAGCATGGGAAATCAGCACTGTAGTTTTAGGCAGCACAAGCTTTTCACAAAGCCCTTAGATTTCACTTGATAGCAAACGCAGAGATGTCCTCAGGCCCTTATAAATGTTGATTATGAAAAATAAATACCAGAACATTGAAAAGTAAATGGCAAATGGAAAAGACTAAAAAACTATAAAAGACTCACTGGATTTAGAGTTGGAAAGAATCCCAAAAGATCTGTCCAAGTGCTCACACTGACTTAATGCTGTTACAACTGCCTACATCCCATTAGATATTACAGATGGACTGATTATTTTATTTAATCGTCAGAACATCCCTATAAAGGACATATAGTTATCCCCACTTTACAGAGAAGGACCTTACCCCAGGTCATACAGGTAAGTAGAAACAGAATTTGAATCAAAGATTCCAGAAATCAATTTTGAAAGCACCATGACTACAGTGACTGTCCCACAGAGGGGGGTAGGCTCCAGAAACAGTGGGTTTAAATTCCAGCCTTGCCACTTACCAGCTGGCTAAGTCTGGACAACTTATTTAACCTTTCTGGGTCTCTAGTTCATTTATAAATTGGAAGAATAAAAGTAACTCCTTCATAGGAGTTGAGATGATTCAATAAGTTAGTAGCGTGAAAGAACTTAAAATTGTGCCTAGCATACAGAAAATAATAATGTCAGCAGTTATTTTTATTATTACAATACCTCTACTTATGAGTATGCCAACTTTTTTGATTCAGTGTGACCTTGTTAGGTGCTGGGATTATCAAGATGAGAAGTAAACAAAAATACTGCCCCTGCTATAAAGGAAGCCACACACAGCCCTACTCACAAAAACATGCAATCAAATAATTTCAAAATACCATGGTAAGGGACACAGTGCAGCTACACATTGGTTTCTATTTTGAGGTGCTGACAATGATTAAGTGGTAGCTAGGAAGGACTGGGAAGACAATTCTGCAAAGAAGAGCACAGGCTTAAAAAATATGAAATCACATTTCCTCAGGGGTAAATAGAGTGTGAAGCAGAATATGTATGGAGATGAGAGACAGACAAAGCCCAAATCATGGAAGAAGTATCCTTTAATCAGCAAGTGCTCAACTAATACCTGATCTGAG